AGTGTGCATGAGAGATAAATGAGAAATTAACTCAACAATATTAACTACAGCTGAAGTGCAAAATACTTACCTGATCCAGTGCTGGCAGTGGATAGGAGCACCTTCAGGGGCCAGCACATCAGGTCCGTTTGAATACCCTAAGTACCCAGAGTTCTTAATTGTTCCTATTTAATGAAACCTATTAAGTCACATGGGTTAGGTGTCTAGACCCATCTTTTCTCACATACTAAGCCATACTATTTGTCATTGAGACTGTCCATCAAAGAAATGGACAAACAGTAGGGCTTAGGTGTCAGGGGCTCTAACAGATTTACAGGTGGAACTAGAAAAATATGGAAGTAATCCTGCAGCTTTCTTTGCCCCAAGGAACAGAGTTGGCTGTGTTTTGGAGGATTGAGTGAGGTAGGCTTGTTGGCATAGCTCCAAGAGGAACTTCAAGTGATAGCACTTGGCACTGAACCTTCCCACAGTCGATTCATTTGAGATTAAAAGCATCTCCTTATTTAAATAACTTTATTAATCCTTCCAAGATCAGAAATCATTGATGCCTAGATGTCCAGGCTGAATGTAGCAATACTTAAAATTAATCTGCATACCTAAAAGTTATTTATACATGTACAGTGGGGCAAAAAAGTATTTAGTCAGCCACCAATTGTGCAAGTTCTTCCACTTAAAAAGATGAAAGAGGCCTGTAATTGGCATCATAGGTAGACCTCAACTATGAGAGACGAAATGAGAAAAAAAATCCAGACAATCACATTGGCTGATTTGGAAAGAATTTATTTGCAAATTATGGTGGAAAATAAGTATTTGGTCACCTACAAACAAGCAAGATTTCTGGCTCTCACAGACCTGTACCTTTTTCTTTAAGAGGCTCCTCTGTCCTGCACTCATTACCTGTATCAATGGCACCTGTTTGAGGTTGTGGACAGGTGTCTTTTACACTGATAACAAGTTCAAACAGTCACACTCCAAACTCCACTATGGTGAAGACCAAAGAGGTGTCGAAGGACACCAGAAACAAAATTGTAGACCTGCACCAGGCTGGGAAGACTGAATCTGCAATAGGCAAGCAGCTTGGTGTGAACAAATGAACTGTGGGAGCAATAATTAGAAAATGGAAGACATACAAGACCACTGATAATCTCCCTCGATCTGGGGCTCCGCGCAAGATCTCACCCCGTGGGGTCAAAATGATCACAGGAACGGTGAGCAAAAATCCCAGGACTACACGGGGGACCTAGTGAATGACCTGCAGAAAGCTGGGACCAATGTAACAAAGGCTACCATCAGTAACACACTACGCTGCCAGGGACTCAGATCCTGCAGTGTCAGACGTGTCCCCCTGCTTAAGCCAGTACATTTCGGGGCCCGTCTGAAGTTTGCTAGAGAGCATTTGGATGATCCAGAAGAGGATTGGGAGAATGTCATATGGTCAGATGAAACCAAAATAGAACTGTTTGGTAGAAACACAACTCGTCGTGTTTGGAGGAGAGAGAATGCTGAGTTGCATCCAAAGAACACCATACCTACTGTGAAGCATGGGGGTGGCAACATCATGCTTTGGGGCTGTTTCTCCACAAAGGGACCAGGATGACTGATCCATGTACAGGACAGAATGAATGGGGCCATGTATAGTGAGATTTTGAGTGCAAACTTCCATCAGCAAGGGCATTGTAGATGAAACGTGGCTGGGTCTTCCAACATGACAATGATCCCAAACATACCGCCCGGGCAACAAAGGAGTGGCTTCATAAGAAGCATTTCAAGGTCCTGGAGTGGCCTAGCCAGTCTCCAGATCTCAACCCCATAGAAAACCTTTGGAGGGAGTTGAAAGTCTGTGTTGCCCAGCGACAGCCCCAAAACATCACTGCTCTAGAGGAGATCTGCATGAAGGAATGGGCCAACATACCAGCAACAGTGTGTGCCAACCTTGTGAAGACTTACAGGAAACGTTTGACCTCTGTCATTGCCAACAAAGAATATATAACAAAGTATTGAGATGAACTTTTGATATTGACCAAATACTTATTTTCCACCATAATTTGCAAATAAATTCTTTCCAAATCGGCCAATGTGATTGTCTGGATTTTTTTTCTCATTTTGTCTCTCATAGTTGAGGTCTACCTATGATGCCAATTACAGGCCTCTCTCATCTTTTTAAGTGGGAGAACTTGCACAATTGGTGGCTGACTAAATACTTTTTTGCCCCACTGTATTTTAGAATACATAGGATTTTTATTTGGTGCACTGTTTTAATGAAAAAACCCTCCTCTGTTTTTACTATAGACTGACAAATGTGATATATACTATTATGTTACACATGCATTGTTGTTTGTTTGCCTTTAATTTTAGCCTTTCCTCACACCGTAGCTAGGGGATACTCTATATTGTTAGTCCCACCCTTTTTTTTCATGCTTAAAGTGGTTGTAAAGCTCAAGTTTTTTTTAACTTCATTCATTCTATGCATGAAGGTAAAAAAAACCTTATCTGTGCAGCAGCCCCCCCAAGACCCCCTAATACTTACTTGAGCCCCATCGCAATCCAGAGATGTGCACGACAGCCTCATCTCTCTGGGGGCTCTTCCTCCTTATTGGCTGAGACAACAATCACAGCCAGTGAGCCAATGAGGAGAGGGGAGGGGGCCAAGCTACGGCTCTGTGTGTGAATAGACACACAGAGTAGCAGCTTGGGAGCAAGGTGGGGCCAGGAGTGCTGGCGGTGGACCCAAGCAGAGGAGGACTGGGGCTGCTTTGTGCAAAACCAACACCGATGTTCTTCTGTTATGATTTGCACAAGTTTTAGATTAAAGATTTCTACAATCTGCAAGATGTCATTTGCATTGAGTTACTGCCAAGCTACTAAGACTGTAAGTTAAGCTATCTCACAATAACTGGATCAGTTATAGAGATCATACTTTCAGTGCTTAGATTGCTGACTGAAAGTATTTGGCGTTCATGGCGATCACCATGTCACAGCTGACAGACATATTGACCACATGATCAGCAACCACTATGACTGATTCCAGATTATTGGGATTTACTAGAAAATAATTGGTATTTTAAAGTGAATAGGGCATCACCTTGTTTATGACAATTCACTAAACAAAGCAAAGAACCTCTATTTCTTTATCATGTCAATCCCACTATGTACATGGGTGCATCCATTTTACTTTGTTAAATATGCAGCCTCTGCTTTCTGTTTAGTGCTGCTACACAATGACTGTGCTATAGTGTTTCTCTCTTACTTAGACTGACAAAAAAGAAATACACTGTCTGAGTGGCAAATTAATATTGTTTTAATGGTCTAGACTAGAGGACCACTATGGGGGGATCTACAAATCTGTAGATTACATAAGTGTCAAACTATAGGAAGCATAACACATATTGAAACTATCAATAATTGCTTTTAGGTAATTATTGTAGTAAAAACTCAATGTCCAGACTAAAAATACACTCCATTTCTCCCTACAGTGTTTATAGCCAAAAGAACAATGCAGATTGTCCTAGTTTGTGCATTTTTATATTAAAGAAAGTATCTGTATTAAGAATGTCTCTTCTAGAAGACTATGTGAAATATTGTGATATAATTGTTTTACTAAACAAAACTTATCCCACTTGAGAGGACAGCTGTATCAAACACACAGCAGATGCAGCTGCAAAATTCACCTCAATGTGGCATAAACAGACATGTTTCACACAATGAATACATAATCACATTCTTCTCAAAAATATTGAGAGTCCTCCACTGACCAATGTCTAGTGATTGAACTACAAAGGGTCTGCACATTTTCAAATTATTTTAATTGCTCAGAGTATTTTGCATGCCTGCAGGCAATTTGAATAAAGTGGCTCTACAAATGAGTGGTACTTTAGATAAAATAACATCCAGTTCACTTCATATACCTTGGGCTTCTCCTAACCAAAATAAACTAAAAAAAAAAGGGAAAAAAAGAAAGACACAATGACTTTATAAGAAGGGATGTGCTATGAATACGACAAGCGTATCTGCCTCTGGGTTTATGGGTATATGTATCTGCCTCTGGGTTTATGGGTAAATGTATCTGCCTCTGGGTTTATGGGTAAATGTATCTGCCTCTGGGTTTATGGGTAAATGTATCCGCCTCTGGGTTTATGGGTAAATGTATCCGCCTCTGGGTTTATGGGTAAATGTATCTGCCTCTGGGTTTATGGGTAAATGTATCTGCCTCTGGGTTTATGGGTAAATGTATCCGCCTCTGGGTTTATGGGTAAATGTATCCGCCTCTGGGTTTATGGGTAAATGTATCTGCCTCTGGGTTTATGGGTAAATGTATCTGCCTCTGGGTTTATGGGTAAATGTATCTGCCTCTGGGTTTATGGGTATATGTATCTGCCTCTGGGTTTATGGGTAAATGTATCTGCCTCTGGGTTTATGGGTAAATGTATCCGCCTCTGGGTTTATGGGTAAATGTATCCGCCTCTGGGTTTATGGGTAAATGTATCTGCCTCTGGGTTTATGGGTAAATGTATCTGCCTCTGGGTTTATGGGTAAATGTATCTGCCTCTGGGTTTATGGGTAAATGTATCTGCCTCTGGGTTTATGGGTAAATGTATCTGCCTCTGGGTTTATGGGTAAATGTATCTGCCTCTGGGTTTATGGGTAAATGTATCTGCCTCTGGGTTTATGGGTAAATGTATCCGCCTCTGGGTTTATGGGCATATGTATCTGCCTCTGGATTTATGGGCATAAGTATCTGCCTCTGGGTCTATGGGCACATGTATCTGCCTCTGGGTCTATGGGCACATGTATCTGCCTCTGGGTTTATGGGTATATGTATCTGCCTCTGGGTTTATGGACAAATGTATCTGCCTCTGGGTTTATGGGCATATGTATCTGCACCAATCTGATGCTCCATCATATTAGTTAAATCCACACAGTATATTTTTTTCCAACAGAAGAAAAGTGAAATTAACAAAAAAAGATTAATCTTCATCAATGTATTTACCTTCTTCAGTTGGTGCTGCTTCCTCTTCATCCTCCTCACTTGGAGATGGAATGAGAGGCTGCAATGGTTCCATATTGATGATTAGCTGCTTGTTCAAGGAGTAAGAGCTGCGACTGTGGGGTATTAATGACCTACACAGCAAAAAAAAAGGAGAATTACATGTTGTCATTAGCAAGTGTGTAAAGAAGTAGCAATGTGCATATGCATGACAAAGGCTGTATTTCCAATATAATATGTCACGGAGCATTGGACAATAACAGCAATGTTCCACTTATTCTTTATTACAGAAATAGAAAATAGTTTATAAAACCCACTTTGCTTTATAAGGTCTACCAACCCATGCCTCCCTAGAAAATAGTTGTGTTACCAATGTCAAGTTTATTCAGCAATATAACCACTCAGCCCAATCTGAAAATATTACAAAGAAGACTTGTTGTTACTTACGTTTTTCCACCATCAAAACTGTACCTCCTGTATGAAACAAGATAATAATTCCTATCTCACACCATACCGGAATAGACTTTGTGGTTAGGGTACTGTAATGGCTCCTGAATGGTCTCAGTACAGAACATAGATGCAATATGTCATCAGTACAACCACGAGTGGGCCACACTGTGCCCCTTCATCATGCAAGTGATGAATGATCACATGCCTAATGATAGGACCCAAACATTGCATTTCTATGTGAGCTTTTGCATCGTGAAACAAGCTTGCAGCTGTGCTGACAATATATTGAATCTTATCTGCAACACACTGTACATTAGAGATAGGTCTTTAACTACTTTTTGTTCACATGTAACAATCAGGTTTTTTTTAGCTAGAAAATTACTATATACTTATATATTTTTTTTCAAGCAGAGGCTTGAAGCAGAGGCCCTACAGAATAAATTGATGGGTTTTGAAATGTTTTATGACAAAAAATACACATTTTTTAATTTTATTGCAAAAAAACATAATGCATAACCCATTTTTTGTAAACTATACACCGAGCAAATAGATACCAAACATGTCATGCTTTTAAAAATTGTGCATGCCTGTGCAATGGCAACAAACAACGTAAATTTTACTATCCATAGGCGACATTTTAAAAGCCTTTACAAGTTACCACTTTATATTTACAGAGGAAATCTGGTGCTAGAATTACTACCCATGATCTGATATTCGTGTAGGTCGATCGCTGTTTGCATGCGTGTGGGGCCAATGCACGGGACCGAGTCAAGCACAGGAGGATGGAGACTCTTTAATTTTTTTTTTCCATTATTAATTTATTTTTCTTTATTTTTTACTTTTACACTGTTTCTTTAATTTTTTTTTTTGATCACTGTTATTGTTTGCAAAAGGAATGTAAACATCCTTGTGATAGCAATAGGCACGTGACAGGTACTCTTTAGGGAGAGATCTGGGGTCTATAAGACCCCAAATCCCTCCTCTGCACTTAAAAGCATTCAAAAATGCCAAGATCGGTGTTTCTGAATGCTTTTCTTTTTTAAAAATGGAGCTGTTTACTTCCGAATAGGAAGTGATGTAAAGTCATCGATTCTGGTTTACTATAATAGAGAGCTGATCCTTGCTTGGCTGTCCGGCCAGCCAGCAAATGTGTCAACTGGTGTCTTGGGTCTCCCAGTGGGATGTCCTGCCCCCCCCTCCCGCTGCTTGTAATAGCAATCTAGTGGCTGGATTGCTATTACAGAAAAGCCAACTGCTGGTTCTAAAAAATGATACCAGGGTGATGCCTGCGGCAGCAGGCATCACTCTGGTATAAACACCGAACGTCCAGCAACATACCGGTACTCCACTGGACAGGAAATGGCTAAATCTGTTTGAATTTACCTGTGGACTTCAGGAGGATCCCTCTGAATTTTTGAGCTGGCTTCAACAACTTCTTTTGCAACTTTTCCACTGATTTGGAAGAAAAAAAAATACACCAAATTAATTTTCAATATACATATATCTATTATAATAACTCACAGTATTTGATCCTTACCAAGACCTGCCTTGGTATTAGGCCGAGCAGTGAATGTAATCAGACAATGACCACTGTCCATGTGGAATTGTCCTAAACACAACAACAAATTCACACTCAGATTCTGATCACTGTAGGAAGCCAATGGTTATGAAATACTCTTTAGCTGCAAAACAGGCAACAGCAGGGGAGAGTACTTGCTGGGTTGCCTACAATAGTGGACAACCCCTTTAAGTCCCAACTTTAGGAAACTTAAAAATCATCCCTTGCCAGTGGAGCTGCTCCTGCACTGCAAGATTACCTGCTCGTTTAATCTAGGGGAGAGTTTCTGAATGTGAACCTACCTGATCCTCTGCTCCTCCAGCAGATGGTGCTCCCTCATGCTCTGGCAGTGGACTGTCCCTCTGTGTCATGCATTGGTCTTGATGGCATCAGGACCTTAGACCAGGAGTCTCCAAACTGCGGCCCGAGGACCGGATGTGGCCCTTTGCTACCCTTTATCCAGCCCTTGGGGCACTATTCCTCCTACTGAGACCAAAATGGGGCAGTACTTCTTCCATTGAAACCAATGATGGGGCACTATTCTTCCCACTAATACTAACAATGGAGCACTACTCCTCCTACTGACCATGTTTATTCTCACTGATGCTGGGACCAGGACATTTTCTATCCTTGCTGGCCCTAATCCAGCCCTCCTAAGTCTGAAGGACAGTATACTGGCTCTTTGTTTGAAAAGTTTGGAGACCTCTGCCTAGAGGAGAATCGGAAATGTAAATATTCTTTTATATGTCCCCTAGACCTAAATGAACAACTAACTCCCACACTGCAGTGCAGCCCCATCGCAAAGAATAATTTTTAAAGTGGAACTTAACTCTCTACATCAACACTGACTATTTGTAATCCTTATACTGCTAGCAATAGTAAATAGAAAGCATATTATATTTACTTGTTTAAAACAGTTTTTTTTCTATCAATTACTTCCCGGTGTCCAGGCCTAGGCAAATGATGTAATTCATCCCAGGAGTCCCAGGAGTCTTCAGGAGGGAGGATGGGGTTTTCTCAGCTAAGCACACCCTCCTGCCTGCATGCCTGAGCTAAGAGCAGATGGATTCCAATCAGTAAATGCTACATGAATCATCTGCCCTTACTCAAGAGGAACATTGCTGGAAATGCTAGGGGGTGTTTTTGATTTGTAATTTCTCAGCAAAATAAAGCATGGAGACCTGTATAGATTGGTGAGCTTGCTTTGGATATTAAAAATTAATTAAATAGCATTTTTGGTTTGTGGTGCTCAGATACAGTGTAGTTTGGCTTTAAGTTTCCTGCAGATGAGCTTTAACTATGTAAGTGACAATACATGAAGTGAGTTATACCTATTAAAGTTTTAGATGTTCTGTTATGCTGGCTATAGATGGATCAAAGCTTGTCCGGTTCAGCAGGGACCGGAAAAATTTTGATCCATCTATGGCTGTATTCTGTCAAACAAAAATGTTAGAAAGTTTTCATTTAATCAGTGGCTGCAGTGCTGATTAGTGTATTCTGACAGTGGAGGAGCCCTTGCAGTCAGAATACAATAGCATAGGGAGGGGGATTCCTCAATCCACCTTGCTTGTGTGGATGGGAAAATCAATTTGTTTTTGTCTTTTTGACCCAACTATAGGCAGCCTTGGTGTTGTTTGAATTAGATAACCTTACCTCATGAACATCAACCCTAAAAGTCCCAATAGGGACAGGAGAATATATTTCTCATCCATGTCCACATGACACAACAATCTCACTGCATGGATGCCTACTTTCCAGTGAACACATTTTTCTATGGAAAAAATGAATGACCCCTTAATAACTTCAGGAATATTCATCATCTGCAAGCAAACCTCCGCTAGCAATAACAATGAACATTACAGTCACATTAACACAGTCAATGCTCACAATAGGGGGCATATATGGGTAAATAATTGAAATACATACAGTTAGGTCCATATATATTTGGACACAGGCACAATTTTAGTTTTTTTCAGGTATTCACCAAAGCATATTAAAGCTATAGTTATATAATGGACATGAGCTGAATGTGCACACTCTCAGGTTTAATTTGAGGGTATGTACATCCAAAGGGTTTAGGAGCTCTTAAGAGTAGCCATCCCCCCTTTCTCAAGGGACCAAAATTAATTGGACAGTTGAATATAATCATAAATAAAATGTTCATTTTTAATATCTTGTTGAGAATCGTTTACTGGCAATGACTGCCTGAAGTCTGGAACCCATGGACATTACCAAAGACTTGGTTTCCTCTTTTCTGATGCTTTGCCAGGCTCTAACTGCAGCTGTCTTCAGTTGTTCTGTGTTTGTGGGTCTTTCTGCCTTTAGTTTTGCCTTCAGCAAGTGAAATGCATGCTCAATTGGGTTGAGATCAGGTGATCGAATCAGCCATTGCAGAATATTCCATTACTTTTCCTTCAAAAGTTCCTGGGTTGCTTTTGCAGTGTGTTTTGGATCATTGTCCATCTGTACTGTGAAGCGCCGTCCAATCAACTTTGCTGCATTTGGCTGAATCTGGGCTGACAGTATATCTCTAAACACTGCAGAATTCGATCCGGCTGCTTCTGCTTCTGTCACGTCATCAATAAAGACCAATGACCCAGTGTCACTGGAAGCCATGCATGCCCATGTATCACACTGCCTCCACGTTTTACAGATGACGTTGTGTGCTTTGGATCATGAGCTAATCCAAGCCTCCTCCACACTTTTTTCTTCCTGTCATTCTGGCACAGATTAACCTTAATTTCATCCGTCCAAAGAATGCTTTTCCAGAACTGATCTGGCTTTTTTAAATGTTTTTTGGCAAAGTCTAATCAGGTTTTTCTATTCTTCAGGCTTATGAATGGTTTCCACCTTGTGGTGAACCCTCTGTATTTGCTCTCGTGAAGTCTTCTCTTGATTGTAGACTTTGAAAATGATACACCCACCTCCTGGAGAGTGTCCTTCACTTGTCTGGTTGTTGTGAATGGGATTTTTATTACTATAGATCCTGTGATCATCCACCACTGTTGTCTTCCGTGGACGTCCATGCCTTTTTACGTTGCTGAGCTTACCAGTGCATTCTTCTTTCCTAAGAATGTACGAAACTGTTGATTAGGCCACTCCTAATGTTGCTGCTATCTCTCTGATGGATTTGTTTCATTTTTGAAGCCTTACAATTGCCTGTTTCACTTGCATGGACAGCTCCTTTGAACGCATGATATAGGTTCACAGCAATAGATTCCAAGTGCAAATACCACACTTAGAATCAACTCCTGACCTTTTACCTGCTTAATTGATAAAGAAATAATGAAGGAGTAGCCCACACCTGGCCATGAAACAGCTTTTGATTCAATTGTCCGATTACTTTTGGTCCCTTGAAAAAGGGGGGATGGCTACTCTTAAGAGCTGTAATTTCTAAACCCGTCCTCCAATTTGGATGTACATACCCTCAAATTAAACCTGAGAGTGTGCACTTTCAGCCCATATCCATTATAGAACTATAGCTTGAATAGGTTTTGGTCAATACCTGAAAAATCTAAAATTGTGCCTGTCTCCAAATATATATAGACCTAACTGTATATGTGAATAAGTTTACTTTTCAAAACTATGTAAATATTTTCACCTTTGCCACACTGCATAAGCATTTCCTGTTTCATCTTCATCACACTGCTGATTTATTGTCCATTGAGCAGACAAAAGACATGGAAAGTTGCAAAGCAGAAACTGGAAATGGTGGTGTCGCTTGGCAGGTTGTGTGATTCAGATGAGTAGAAGAAAACAATCTGCTGCCATCTCGTGGCCAGATTGTAATTTGCACTCTTGCCAAGCAACTTCTCTGATGTGTAATAATCAAGGTGATGGATGTGGCAGTAAAGCTGCCTGCGATAGTAAAAATGTGCCATAAATGATGTTTGATAATTTAATAAAGTAACAAAGTATGATAGAGTATACTATGAATATCCTTCATTGGCTTTAATAGAGGAAAATTGACTGTAGAAATGGATGGAGGTATGCAATAAGTAAAAGCATGACAAAAAAAGCCAGTGAGACCCGGTGTAAATTTTTATATAAATGTTGCTTGAGATTAATTACAAGGAAATTGAAAATGGAAGAGCGGGTTATTTATATATTCACAAAAAAAAAAACTTACCAGTATCGATATCGACTTCCTTTAAAAAATATATTGCTGCTTGTCATTGTCTTTACTTGGCTGGATTTTGCATACCTAATGATTGAAGAGGAGGATAAACAATGAAGAATACCTACTGGATATGAGTTGTATTAACACATTCGACCCTTTAACTTAGATCAACCGAAAATATCTGGATGGCATTCTTCTTCTTTTAACATTACTTAAAGCTGAGCTCAAGGCAAAACAAATTTCCTAACCTGCAGTGGGGCTGCCTCCGGGTTAAGTGCTAGTGAAAAAAGCTATTTTGTTTAACCCCCCTTCATGATCAGGCCATTTTTTTGTGATACTTTAACTGACAATTGCACAGTCATGCAATACTATACCCAAATAAAGTTTGTGTAATGTTTTCCCTCAAATAGAGCTTTATTTTGGTGCTATTTGATAACCTCTGCGGTTTTTATTTTTTGCTCTACAAAAAAAAAAGACAATTTTGAAGAAAAAAAAACCCACAATATTTTTTACTTTCTGTTATAAAACATATCCAATAAAGAAAAATCTAATTTCTTCATAAATTTAGGCCAATATGTATTCTGCTAAATATTTTTGGTTAAAAAAAAAACCCAATAAGCGTATAGTGATTGGTTTGTGCAAAAGTTATAGCATCCACAAACTATGGTATAAATACTGAAATTTGTATTTATTTATTTTGTTTTATATTAGTAATGGCAGTAATCAGCAACTTACAGCAGGACTGCCATATTGCGGCGCACAATTGCACATTAACTGGCATTTATGACACTTTGTGGGAACCAGTGAAACTAATACAGTGATCAATGCTAAAAATATGCACTGGCACTGTACTAATGACACTGTCTAGGAAGGGGTTAAACATCTAGGGCAATCAAAGGGTTAACTGTGTGCCTAGCTAGTGTTTTAATGTAAACTGTGTTCTGCTTTCACTAAGGGAATTGATGGATCTTATTCCCTACTTTGTAGGGAGACAAGATGCGAGGGATTTTGTTTTCCCTGAAACTAGGCTTTAAGAAGAGTTAGTACTTTGTCGCTGGAAACTGAACAAACTAGCAATAAACATTATACATCTCAACATTATTATTACAATTTATGTCTTAAAGTTATAGTAGAAAATACAGGGGGTGGTTTTAAATTCCCACACAAGTGGAAAGATGTAGAGCAGAGGTGTCAAATCTGTGGCCCGCAGGAAGCATGCAACCGAGACATGTCTGGAGGGACGCCATGCAAATACAGGAGCCATGGCAGCCAGCAGGGATAAGCTAGGCATAAGAACGTATGGAAGGACACCGGGCATGTCGTGCAAGCATAGCAGCAGCTGGCACCAAGAATCCAGGCACCTACACGGCTGTAGGAATGCTGGGGCTGCCATTTTTATAATATCACTGGCGGCAATTATTATTATTATTATACAGTATTTATAAAGCGCCAATAGTTCACTCAGCGCTGTACATTACAATGGGGGACAATGAATGCAGGTACTCCCAGATAGCTCAAGGCAAGTAAATGCCACAATGCTGTATATAGGGGGTGCTGGGGGGAGCTGTACCCCCCCCCCCCAGGTTTCAATTTCACCCCATGGCTTCTATGTCGCAAAAGAAAACAGAACCCAAAAAAAAAAAAGTTGCCAATGATTAGATTGTTCAAGAAAAATTGGACAGATAACTACTTTTATGTCCTGACAAATGCACTCTGCCTAATTTGTAGGGAATTTGTGGCAGTTTTCAAACACTACAATTTGAAAGGGCATTATGTGCAAAAAAATGGCAACAAATTATTAAATTAGGCATATCAAGGAATATGTCATAGGGACAAAACAGCAATAGGTACATTATCTACAGTATATCAGTGATCGTTAACTTGTGATCTGCCAAACCTTTTCTGGTCATCAGCTCTCCTTATTGTTAGAGTATTTAATGTTGCCCAAGACAAATTCTTGTCTTCCAATTTGGCCCAGGAAGGTCAAAATATTGGACACCCCTGATGTAGAGCATAGCAACCCAATAGAGTTCTTCCTTCATTTTTTCAAGATCTAAATTCTAAGATGAAAGCTAAACATGTAATTTGGGCAACATCCTTTGTTCTCCTTTGCTCCAGACATCCCCAGTACTTGTTAATTCAGTAATGATTGGTATTATTTTTACATAAAACATGTAAACATGAGCAGACATATACTATGTTACAAAAGAAAATGATCAATGTCTCTCTTATGATACGTAGATTTCTGGATGCACAATTCCAGTTATATAATTTTCCAGAATATGCTGTACTCACTTGTAAAAGGCCTGATTTTCGACACCACATTTCCAGAGATGTTTGCAGGCGGCTGGTGTTGAGGTATGGTAGGTTAAAACAGTTTCTTCTGAAGATCATAGGAAAAAAGATCAATCTGCAGTTAAGATATGAGACTTGTAGATTTTACACAGTTCTAATATCTAATCAACAATTCTGTTTAGTGCACAAGTGTAAATTCTGATGTGCATACTAAGAAAATTCAGGATTCTTTAATAAAATACAACTGCCATGAATAAAGACAATTTTGAGGTATTGATAATAAAATTAGGATCTTCTTTTTCTTATGCCTGGCAGTTCACACACTGGCTTGCTCCTGCAATATTCATTCATCAGGAGGTAATATACAGGCAGCATGTTTGTACAGGTGTATAATTACAAGAGCTGAACAAACAGACCTGCTGCCACAGCAAGGCCCTGTGCTTGTACAGTTGTAATGAATTCCTCTGTGATGTCCTAATGAATTGTAACAATATTTTATTTCTTTTCAAGCCTTTAAAAACATTGCTGGTTTATACAAAATGAAAAATGGAGATGTCTGTAGCAGTCAATCAGATTACAGCTGTCACTTTTTATGTGTGGACCAGAGAATGAAGGCCAGCACTGGTTACGATTGGCAACACTTGCCCCTTTAATTCCACCATACAGTAAATCAGCCTTAATATGTTCTTGTTTATTATTAAATATCAGCTTTGTCAAATTATTAATAATATACTTGTATCATTATTTCCCTAGTAGCATATCTTTCCACTCTATAGCCTAATGTATAGGGTCATTATTTGTCATGAGACAAATACAGGATCTACCCTTGCTGTTCTTTGCAGGGTCGATAACATGCATGTAGCAAGTGAAATCAGAACACCTAATATGTATATTTGTTTGGGTGAGTGATTAACAAAGTACCAAATCCAGAGAGTCAGCATGAGTGATATTTAAATGTATGTATTAAACAGTTTTAGGACCAAATTATCATAAAAAGGGAAGTGAAATTAAATAAACTCTTTCTTATTTTAATTGAGCCTATTGTCACTTATTTGCCGTACCAAGCATCCAGGATGGGTGATCACTGTGTTAGATAATACTGGCCCAATGTAGATGATAACCTTAAAGTGGAACTTCACTCTGATTTCTAACATTCTTTAATCTGCACTGCTACCCTTCCTTTAACATAATTGGATATAAAATATTTGCTTTATTTGTTACAAAAACCTTTTCAACTTATCTTTAGGAGAGAATGACGTAGCATGTACTGCCCAAAGACTCCTGAGAGATATGCAGCACATATCGCAGTAGGTGTGGGGTCTTCCTGAGGGTCTTGGGGAGAGGGGCCACAAAGAATTCCAGGAGGGAAAGGGAAAGGAATTCCTCTGTCCTTACTACAAATGGCTACCGTGACAAGAACAATGAGGAAAAATACACTGAGATATACAGAGAAACTAAAGCCTAATTCTCAAAGCCAGGTTAGGTGCTAGAAGCGAGTTTCATTGATTAAATTAAGGGTGAAGAATTAGGACGAGTTAAGCGTAATTCTTCAGCGTTAAGTTGGGGGGGGGGGGTATTTTTATAGTACTAAGAGGCAGGTGCAAACAAATTAAGAGGCACCTTTATAAAAAAAAACACTTACCATAGTCTCTAACCTAAACAAAGCTAATGTTTACAGCCTAGAAGTACAGTCTTATTCAAGTCTATAGAGTTACTGCACAGGCTGAGTGAGCTGGGGGTTTGTAAGGTAAAGCTGCCCTTTAAACGCTAGTGGGCAAATTAGCAGTCTCTTTGTATAGTTACAGTGCTGTAATGCTGCAACTTGACTTTGTTTCTGTTACTTTGACCGGTGTGTTTTAAAAACAGATGCAGAAAAATCCTAATTTTCAGTTTACATCAGAATAAGAAAAGAGATTGTTGGTGTGCATGATGGACCAGATTGTTCCTACCTCCTTCTGCAATACAACAACATAAAATGTCTTCCCATCAAATCTCATTTTGCAGACGTCTGGCCTAGAAAAGGAAAGATATTACTGTAAGACACAGAGAATAAGAATTAAGGAAAATCATCCTCAAGTCTATCTGCAAGAAACCAATATACTGTATATATATATATTCTGTATATTTTGTTTTTGTTTTGTTTTTTTGCTTCCTGTAAGTATCAGCATTTACTAGCATGCACACTGTGCCTTAAGAGATATTCAACATATTATTCAATATAGTTGTGCATTCAAAGTAATTCAATTTACATGTATAATAGTTCCTCAATCTGTCTTTGTGGTACCCTCCTCTACATCAGTATTTAGTCTGGAAGAGGGAGGGGTAAAACTATAAGCTAAATAGGCTTTACTGCATTATATAGTGCTGTGATTCTAACAAATGGAGCTTTAAGATGGCCATACACTGATCAAATTTCAGCTGGTCCGATCAGTGTATGGGCTCCCCTGTTCAACAGAAGTCTATTATTTACTTGACTTCGATCAGCTCACCACCTCTTCTTGAGACACACACACACACACACACACACACACACACTAAAAAAGGTATATACATGTCTTTTTTTCCTAGGGTCTTCTGATGGACATAATAGTCCTTTGTGCTGTACCTAACTCATGTAGCTACACGTGAACAATGTGCAAAGTGCAATAATACTCCATACTTGGGTGCTTAACCTGTGTCCCTCAGAGCCCTCTAATGTGGCCCTCCACCTCAAACTGAATGCAGGAGTTTTGGTGTGCTTAAGGAAAGTGCACCACACCCACAAGATGTAATAGAAGTCTATGGTAAAACACTGCTAACCCACAGGTGCACTACACTGGACCCTGATGCAGGTAAACCACAGTGCATGAGTGTGAAAGCAACCTTATAGGGCTGTAAGGCTCAGGACAGTAAGAGCTTGTGTACATTTGCAGTTTTGGGGGGTAAAACCCCATAGTTGAGATGTGTTTTTACCACTGCTAACCCTGACCCATGCTCCAGGGGGCCGTGTGACCTCCCTATCACATTCTGTTTTACACTTGGACGGGGACGGAGGGGGTGTGGGGGGGGGGCTGAGGGGGTGGCAGGAACCGATCCTCTCCATTTTCCTCCTGCAACAACTGAAAGTCGGCTTCTCCTCCTCTCCCTCCTGCTGGCATTCAGCAGCTGCAGGAGGAAAATGTTTGTTATGCTATTCAAAATTTAAAAATTCTAAATTTTTGAACCATTTAATTTCATTGTGGCCTGCAACCGGTTACCAAATCACTTAAGTGGCCCTCACTCTTCACCCTTGCTCAATACTCAATCCAGGGGCAAGCCCATGACAGTCTAGGCTCAAAGGAAGTGGGTTGATTGATGCTGGCAATTATTCAACCCAGACATCTGAGGACATCTAGTGGTGTAAGAGAAGTACTGTGGGGTATATCTTCAAACTGAAGATGAGTATTATGACAACAGCTGCTTTTATTTATTTTTATCTTTTTATTTGGACTGGAATTCCAATTTATTAGGTTTGCCTACCCTTACACTTTAACTATCTGTCACCATCCAGAGTTCAATGTATAATGTTATTTAATCACTGAGACCCAACAGACATTCTAAAACAATACCCCTTATTCCATTTTTCTAGGGTGACAGTGGCCAGTGGCATTTTTCATGATACCTTGTCTGTCACATGATGGACATTTTTATTTATTTCCTAATCGTATAGATCACTGACATATTAAGCAGCCCTTTCTAAAGAATGTGGAGCTCTTAACCACAGTCATACACATATACACCAAGGCCAACTGTGTTCAGAAACCAATTCTCGTAACAATATAATTTTGGAATATGAGAATAAACCAAGGGAACTAAAACATTCAATGGAAGTGTAGTCCCTAAATGACACTGAGGACCTCAAAACTGCAAAACAAGAGCACTACCATAATCACCACCCATCCGTGCATTTACACCACCCATTCGTTTATGTAACAGTCTGTATTCATAAGGTGAGTGGACCCTAAGGAGAAGGGAGTATTTTCTGGTTTAATATGTCTCATATGATTTTTTTAAACTACATACTGTAATATGAGGAATTTTTAAACCAACGGTGTAAAGAACTAAGTATTTATTCTATAAAATGATTCTGTACAGTTCTCCTCTGGTTTATTTTATACAAATGCATGTCATTAGTTATTAAACAGCAAGATGAAATGTAATTACCATCTTATCAGATGTATCCTTTTATTTCCCTGGAAAACGACAAGCCCCGCGGCAGTGAATCCTAGGAATGTTGTGGTCCCCGTTGAGTCCTTCAAGTGACAAAGGTGATACGGGGTTTAATAAGAACCAGTTTCGTAGTCAGCAAACCTAGTATGCATCAGTACACTTGCAAACCTAATTTAGGAATTGTGTCAATGGGCAAATGCAGTGCAATGTGTCTGTACCACTTTCCCAAAGTGATGTGCATGTACAACTGTCAACTCATTGATTTAAACATTTTTTTACAGCCATAGATCTTTGTGACATAAAATACATGTGCTATCTTTATCTATTAAAGATACATCTGTACATAAAATAGCTTGAAGGAAGAATGATTCTCATTCATCAGTGTCATCACCAAGAACTGTTCGTACTACCCAGTAGCTACCAATTACATTTAAATATGATGATGATGATGGAGAAGGAAACATTCTAAGCATGGTTTGTGGCAATAGGGTGATACGGACAGTTCTTAATTGAAAGAACTCATTGATAAAGCTAAAAGTAACAAGAAACATCAGTTTAAAGTGGTTGTAAACCCTTGCACATATGCAGTGAAGTGACTGGCCTCAGACGGTACACAGAGATGAAACAAATCCTCCTACATAGGTTATACCTCTTTAACCTCCCTAGCGGTCTGATTATGTCCATATTTCTGTGCTCAAAGCGGTACTTTTTTTGCATGGAAATATGTATTTTTTTTTATTGTAGGCCTGTAATTTTTAGGAATAACTCACTGAAAACTGTCCGAACAAGAGTCTAGTAAACATCCTGGGTATGATAAAACTTGAAACACGAAATCATAAATTATAATTTAATAAATAATCATAAAAAAATAATAATATAATAATAAATGTAATTCAATAATATAATCAAACCAAAAACACTGAAAATTGAAATATAGCACCAAGTTCGCACATCACTGAGCAAAGTCGCAATATCGTTTTTAGTGTCTGATGACGAATTTCCCCACAAATCATTATCACTCAATTCTGCAAGTGGTTCTGATTTACTATCGCTGTTCTTTAGCTGGTCTAAAACCACTTTTGACCTAAAGGGACGCTTTTTGGACGCCATGGACGTTTCTCAGTTTCCAGGCAGAAAGAACAGTAAAAATGCAGGCAGGGCACAGGACAAAGCACTAGGGACAAAATGTATGTAAAATGGTTTGATACAGTAATGTTTTACTATGTGATTTTAGTGAATGTCACTTTTTGTCATTTTCAAATTTCCCGCCGTTCAGTCCCCGTACGTCCCGATGCTCGCAGGGGGCGGAACGCAGATGACAGATGCCGGCATCCACCGGATTACATTGCCGGGGACACTGCAGGAGGGACATCGCAGGAGCGCAGGACAAGGTAAGTGATCGAGGGATCCCGGAGCAACGCCGCATGGTAAGCCCGAGTGTAGCTCAGGGTTACAGCTTGTGGTACTGAAACTTTACTCCGAGCTACACTTGGGAATACTGCCAGGGAGGTTAACTACAGTTGTCTCTTCTCTACATCCATTCAAAGTCCAGAATTTAAAAAACTTGTCTGAGCGTTCATAAATTACACTCTGCAGAGTTCAGAGAGGAGAGCTCTGAGGGATGATTGGAGGAAAGGGACACACCCCTTCACACAAAAGCACACAGGAACAAAGCTGAAGCTGTCAATCACAGGATGTGTGCTAGGGGTCCCTCCCCTGTCACCTTTTTTCTCTTGGTGTGAGAAAACTTGTCAGAAGTGATTCAGGCTGATAGCAGAGGAACCAGGCAGCAGACTGAAATGACACTGGATTGAGACACAAACACTCATATTTTGTGTCTAAGGTTTACAACCACTTTAAATGAACTAAAATGATCTAAAACCTCAACACACACATTGAAAACAAACTTCATATAAAACATTTATACACCAATTGTGTAACCAACAACCCACTTAACTTTCTTGTAGAACAAATTGTAGTAAATGGCATAGAACACATCTTTAGCTACACAGAGCTAGCTCTAACACTTCATGCGCACATGTACCTAGCATGTTATCTATTCAAAATCTATTACTCCATCAGTCACACAGTTCAAGTGTGAAATTGCTGATCAGAAAGCAGCAGTATAAGGACAGTGGACTAGAAACAGCTGTGGTACCTTGCATGGATGAGGGTCAACGCCATACGTTTCCAGGGAATGTGCTTTCAACAGCAAATTAAATTCTGCAACAGCTGGGCTTTGACCTCTGAAATGGCAGAAAAGGAGGAAGAAGAGGTCATTAGTGCTTTACATGGTAAGCAAAACATGCCCTGAGATAGCAAATTTTATTCCTCTCCCCACACCAAAGCAAAACAGCAGTAACATTCACAAAATGTGCTGACATGTATGTTAGGTCATATGTTATAACATTTTTATACAGGACATGTCGTACATTTTTTATAAAAGCAATCTGATTTTGAAACTCTGCTGACACTTGGGAGTCTTTTTATAAAACAATGTTAATAAGCATATTTTCCTGCTATATATTGCTGAGAAATTTGCATGCATTCAATTTATTGAAGTGCCACAAAGAATCTATCATTAAGAGATGCACCTCTGGCTACTAGCTATGACACATTGACATCATTTATAAAGGGTGCTTTAGTGCTGATTCACACTAGTATGACGTCTGATGCGACTTGAGTCATACTGAATCACATGACAAGGGAAATCACTTTATATTCAATGGTGCTCTCTATCTGTTCACCCAGAGCCACTTCAGTCTCTAAGGAGGTGCCCCTAATGTTCCATTTGACCTTAAAGACTTTTTCCTGAACTCATACATCAGTATACACACGTCACTCGTTGGGCCATATGACCCCTTGTTATCTATTCAGTGGTGCCCGATCCAATCAATACATCTCAGCACAGTGCAATACTGGAAGAGGTTCCAGGTTGCAATTTACAGTGCAACTTGGCCCCATAGAGTATGCAAAGTCGCATCAAAGTCACACTACATAATCACACTGACATGCAAAAAAAATCACATTGCAGTAGTGTGATCCAAGCCTTACTACTAAAGTCCAAAGGAAAAGAAAGGGAACACATGTTCACTTCAAGCATCCATTCATATAAAAGAAAATTAGGGAAAACTGGAGTTTCTCAAAAGGAGTTGTTTGAAACAAACCCAGGGTCTTGACTTCACTTTACGTCACTTTTATAGCAGTGCCATGCTGAAACTAAAGTATTGGCTAGACTGGATAAGAAGATGTAATTTGTGGTAGAAGTTGGAGGTCAAAGCTTATTACATAGAACTTTACCTAGATTACTTTGGAATGCATGTTTTAATTCAAAACAATTTCATCTTAAAAAATCTAGACACAATAAAAAAACACATTACAATCAAACTGTTAATACAATATATTATGAGATTTATAATATATTGATATACTGCAAGTGAATACCTATTGTTAATAAACAGAAATGTTTCTAACAAACAATGGTTGTTACCTTGGAGATCAGTTTGGGGCTCATTTACACTTGCTTCAACTTAACACACATGAAGTGTCTACCACTTCAACATGCTTTTTTGATTTTTTTTTATGCTTCTGTGGTGCTTCGTTGATGCTTTGGTACTGTTTTTTGACGCTTTAATGAAGCTGGGCAAATGCAATGTGTGTGCTGATTTTTTAATTGTTTTAAAGGGGCCCAGTAGAACCCCAGTCCAGTAGTATCCTCACTCAGCAGATCCCCAGCTCATTAGAACCCCTGTTCAGCAGATCCCCAGCTCATTGGTACCCTTGTTCAGCAGCTCTCCTGCTTATTAGTATCCTTCTTCAGCAGATCCTCTTCTCAGTAGTACCCCAGCTCTGTTGATGCCCCACTCATTAGTACCCCCAGCTTTGCTGATCCCCTGCTCAGTAGTAACCCCCAGCTCTGCTGATCCCCTACTCAGTAGTAACCCCCAGCTCTGCTGATCCTCCGGTTTGCTAATCCTCCTCTCTCTCAGGTGTGACATTGCTAGTTTTTCCTGCTGTGGTCCCCCAGCTCTGCTGATCCTCTGCTGCTCTTTCCTCCCTCTCCGACCCCCGCTCACCTTCCACTATAGCATTCTGATGTTGCACACCACACATGCCATCTGCTAGATGCTCCACTCCAGTCTGGACCGCACTCACCTTTCCTGCTGCTCCATGCTGCTCACCAGATGTGACGTCTGCACCAGACAATCCCAAAATATATACACGTGAACCAGAAGTGACTGTTGATAATGTCTTTCTGGTTCACTCGTTGGTTTCCCATTGCATCCTGGGATATCTCATAACTACAATACCTACAGAACAAAGTAAAGCTAAAGCTGAATAAAAGCCTCTCAAGAGCTGCAGGTGCTGTAAACGAGCTTTGTCATAGATGTCTATGGAGGCTTTGGAGACACTTTGAAGCACCAAGAAAGAAACAAGGGGTATCGTTTTTGAAGCAAAGCAAACACAATGTGTAAACAGGACTGTAGGCTTACCATTTTAGTTAATGTCATGTGCTTTGATTGGCATTCAGAGTGCTTTAAAAAGGCTGTCCAATGCCACATCAAGTGTAAATGAGCCTTAAATGTCATGGAACGTACAACTAAAGGCTATAGTATGACAGGCTAATGAAGTACTAAATCCACTTACTATGTGATGCACAATAAGCTCATGTGATGCTCGTAAGGTAAACAAAACACTTTCAGTCAGAAAAAACAGGTGGTTGAGATTCAGTTTTACTGACCCCCAACCGTCTACCTAAAGTCTACAGTACAGATGGAGGGGGCTATTCACATTCTTTGTGTCGCAGATGCAGTAAATTTAATAGGGCTGTTCAAGTCAGTGGGGTCAGGTCAAATGTTCTTATCACAGTTGTGGAGTATTAGTCCTATTGTAAATTGCCATTTGACAAAAAAAATTTTAAAAGACATTCAGAAGGTGGAGGGATAGCCCCCTGAATGACAGCAGCTGCCTAGCTGTTCTCTGGAAAGCAATCGATCACGGATCACTTTTCAGAGAAAAGGCTAGTGTGAACCTAACCAGCACAGAGGTTTCAGTGGCTGTCAATCCATGAAGCAGTGGGTAGGACTTGCCTTGATAAAAGTAATGTACAAATACACTGTGGGTATGCATGCCATGAACACTGTTGGGACCATGGCCAAACACACATTAATATTATGGACTTCATAGCTGAAATGGAAATTTAGCCAGCCATAACAATTAGTTTCTAATAGGATAGCAAGGGTTAGAACTTCAATTAACCTCTTGCCAACTGCACATAGCCCAATGATGGCTTCACTGTGGCCGGCCAGTTCTGGGTGGACGTCATATGACATCCTCCCTGAACTCACTCTCCTGTGCGCCCCCTGGGGGTGCATACCCTGATGATCGGTGCCCAGCAGTGCCACCCACAAGTACCCACCAGTGCCACCACCTGTGCCCATCAGTGACCAGCAGTGCCACCCACCTGTACCTATCAGTGCCCGCTCATCAATGCTGCCTATCAGTACCACCTATCAGTGCCCATCAGTGCCATCTATTAGTGCTGCCCATCAGTGCCGCCTATCCGCGCCACATCATCAGTACCACCTATCAGTGCCCATCAGTGCCGCCTATCCGCGCCACATCATCAGTACCACCTATCAGTGCCCATCAGTGCCGCCTATCAGTGCCCATCAGTGCTGCCTATCAGTGCAGCCTCATCAACGCACATCAGTGAAGGAGAAAAATTACCTGTTTACAAAATTTTATATTAGAAAGAAAGAAAAACATTTTTTTTTCCCAAATTTTTTTACTATTTTTTTGTTTATAGCACAAAAAATAAAAAACACCCAGCGATGAGTAAATACCACGTAAAAGAAAGCCCTATTTGTGGAAAAAAAATGATAAAAATTTAATATGGGTACAGTGTTGCATGACCGCGCAATTGTCATTCAAAGTGCAACAGTGCTGAAAGCTGAAAATTGGCCTGGTAAGGAAGGGGGTATAAGTGCCCGATAGGCAAGTGGTTAAATTAGTTCTGTCTTTTCAGCAATTAACACCTCTCTCGGGTGTTTATTGCTGTTTTTTGTCCTCATTAAGCTCCTCATACATGTTACATTCTGTACAATTTCTATAAAATGTGCTTGGCTTGAGTCAACAGGATTTGGGCTTGTATGGATAACATTCATTTGACATGAGCTTTAGATGCTGCTGACATCATTCAAGAATTTATTCACAGGTAAAGTAAACCTGCAGTCTACCTCCTTCTGACATGTATTTGACAAAACCTATTTGACACAAACAAAAGACCATCAACACAGACCCTAAGGCCTTCACTAACTTCAGAGTTAGCTTCATTTTATTTTTCATGTATTGGATAAAGTAGAAAACCAACACACACTGGAGGAGATTTACTAAAGCTGGTTCACTCAGAATCTGGTGCACCTGTGTATGGTAGCCAATCAGATTCTAACCTCAGCTTGTCCAATTAACCATTTGACGCCTGGCCAATAGTCATATGGCGGCCGGAAAAATGCACTAGCTTTCCGGGAGGCCGCCATTTGGCGTACTCCCACACATGCGCAGTTCGCGCGCTTGCAGAGCCGCGCAGCGGCACGATCTGTCACCGGCCATGTACCTCGGACACGGCCGATGACAGATCTGAGTATCGGCCCCGTTGCCGGTACCATGTGACCTGCTGTGACCAATCACAGCAGGTCACATGACAGTTGTATACAATGGATGGCTTCATTCATGCCATCCATTGTATACTAGTGTCTAGCTGTGAATGGTCACAGCTAATCACATGCACATGTCATATGATTAGCTGTGACCAAATCACAGCTAAGCACAAAAAAAAAACAAAAGAAAAAAAAAACCCTGAATGAATCGATGTCATTCAGGTAAATGCTTGCTTATAGCAAAGTAATTCTTTGCTATAAGCAAATTGTGTAAAAAAAAAAAAAAACTACTGATCACTTCCCCAAAGTAGTACAATGTTACTATGGTAACATTGTACTACTTTGGACATAGTGAAATATGAAAAAAATCTTAAAATAAAGAAAAAAAATGTAATAAAAAATTTAAAATAATAAAAAAAATTTAAAAAAATTTTTTTTTTTTTTCACACTGTCACCAGTCAGTGTCTCTGATCACCGCCATGCCAGTTATATGATGACGCTGTACTGCACTGGTGACAGTATGTAAAAAAACAATAGTGAAAATAATTTTTTTTATTTTTTTTTCATTTTCCAAAAAATTATGACAA